GGTCAGCCAGGCAAAAAAGGCCAGACCTATTCAAAAAATAAGTGAAACAAAGGGACTGGAGGAATAGCTCAAGTGTTGAGTAACTCCTAGCAACATGAATTCCTGAGTTCAAAACTACGATACTGTCATCCAGACACCAATGGCTCACACCTGTAATCTTAGCTACTCAGAGCAGAGGTCAGGAAGATTACAGTTTGAAGCCAGCTGAAAAAGTTCTTGACCCTATCTTGAAAATACTCAGTTATAAAAAGGGTTGGTGGAATGGCTCAAGTGGGAGGTGTCACTCCCTACCCCTGAGTTCCAACCCGCTACACCAAAAAGAAAAAATTCTTTGCACAATTAACCTTATAGAGGGCTGATGGAATGGCTCAAGTGGTAGAGCACTTGCCTAGCAAGATTGAGGCCCTGAGTTCAAACCCCAGTACCACCAAAAAAAAAAAAAAATTCATCTTTTAGATAAAGGAACTAGTTAAGAAAGTAATGTCTTTAGATAATTAAAATTAAAATGCAGATGTAGAAAAACATTTTCATATGACTATGAAAAGAAAACTAGCCACGAAATGGAATTTATAAATATCCATAAGTTAATAACTGGAAGTATAAATAACAGTGGATAGTATCAAGTTCCACACTAAGTTAATCCTATTGTAAAAATGTTTACACATAAACCTCATAAAATAATTTAGGTAGCTTTAATTTACTAACTCAAAATATTACTAAGTTATCTTGTATTTTTTAAGTAAATTTGATTATTTTTCCCATCACTCATTGTCCAAAGCGTTTAAATGACAATGACATACTCAGAGAACATGAATACATTCTATAAGGAGTCAGAAAGCAGGAAAGTTATTTTCATCAGTTTGACAAATATAAAGAGACACAAAATTCCACATTTTGAATTTAAGATTTATTGGGGAAAAGTACAAAACAGACTACTTCTCTGAAAGGCTAGGTTTTTAAAACTCTATTGTAAGCAAACAATTTCTACTTCAAATTACAAATTTTTTAGTCTTTTAGTTAATAATATAGTGAATATTAATTGTACAAAATAATGAGTTTCATTATGAAATTTCCATACATTGTGTGTATGATCATATCCACCTCCCATTACCTTCTCTTGTCTCTCAAATATTTTAAATCAGCATTGATTTGTAAGTATGTTTTATTATTGGGAGGAAAATTTGGCATAATGAAAATTTAAAGCAATTTTTCCTAATTACATGAAATAGGAATAGGTAATATAATTAGTTGACCTGTTTCTTGCCTTTTTGTTCCTGGATATTTAAGAAAAAAAAATGTGTATTTTTCAAATTCAAACAAAGTATTTCTTTATTGTGTACCTGTTTTTTGAGTCTATTAATAACTAAAGTTATAACAACATGACAAAAATGTATGCATTTTTTTAAAAGAAACCAGATCTATTTATACACATAATTTTTCTAAATCTCTGTTAACAAACTGACAAAAGATGTCTGTCTGTCACAACTTTGGCTTTAAGGCTGCCCACATTTCTTCAGTCTGCTGTCTGGCTGCAGCATCTCCTGAGTAGTCAAGACAGTTGGCATTCCACATGCCAATGCCGCGTAAGCCATAGTTTTGCATATATGCTGCCTTTAAAGAGATGCTCCGAGGGTTATCATACCACACTTGATGGAAATGGCCATCAGGATCCTATATAAATAAATTAAAATGCAAATTTAGAGTTTACAGTAAAAGAGGAAAAGTTTCTTAAGTCCAGTGATTCAAAAAGGATACAATGAAATAATGAAAAAATTATAGCATAGTACTTTCTTGCTCTATTATTACATGGATCTGTATGTGATTCTTTATAGATATTATTGTTTATGACACTTTTAACAACAAAGATTACACAAATGAACCTCCTAATGTATTCTATTTGAGATTCTTCTTAATCCTAAGTTACTTTCCTTGATTTGATCTTTGATTTGATAATTTCCTTGAATTATCAACCAATATGTACATCAGATTTCTGTGCTCCGTTCCACATGAAACCTGTTGAATCAAAACCCTCTAAGGTTGGTGCTTGGATGTATATTTGTTTGTTTGCTTTGTAAACAGTAAAACTACTGTTCCATTATGTTAGGCAGGTGCTCTATCACTTGAGCCACACATCTAGCCCCTACTGTTCCATTATGTAATTCTGATACACAGCCAAAGTAAAGAAGAATTACTGCTCTGATCTGCTAAAACCAACTTCTGTTTTATATTTTCTACAGTTCCTGGGAGTGTGCCTATATAGTAGCAGCATGGATGATTTTGTTTATGTTGAATCTGCCAAATCAAAAGGTAATGGCAATAGAGAAGAAAAGTACCTCCTTTTGTTGGTCTCACTGAATTGATTCTAAAAGGCTACTGGAGGTGGCTTCATTGAACTTAACACACACTGGTTAAGGACCATAAACTAGATTCTGGTCTTATACACACCTTCTACACTATACAACTTTCTCTCAGGAAGCACATGAGCTATTGGATAAGAGATAAAAGTAAAAGGAAAGAGGCAGATCTAGGCAAAGAGTAAAGGAAGGAGAAAAAAGATAAGTAAAAATAGAATGAAGACTAATAATAATTCTGATTTTTTTCCTTTATTGTGCTGTGTGCGGGTACCTTGTGGCATTTACAAAGATTCTTTTTTTTTTTTTTATTCATATGTGCATACAAGGCTTGGTTCATTTCTCCCACCTGCCCCCACCCCCTCCCTTACCACCCACTCACCCCCTCCCTCCCCCCCTCAATACCCAGCAGAAACTATTTTGCCCTTATTCTAATTTTGTTGTAGAGAGAGTATAAGCAATAATAGGAAGGAACAAGGGTTTTGCTGGTTGAGATAAGGATAGCTATACAGGGCATTGACTCACATTGATTTCCTGTGCGTGTGTTACCTTCTAGGTTAATTCTTTTTGATCTAACCTTTTCTCTAGTACCTGGTCCCCTTTTCCTATTGGCCTCAGTTGCTTTTAAGGTATCTGCTTTAGTTTCTCTGCGTTAAGGGCAACAAATGCTAGCTAGTTTTTTAGGTGTCTTACCTATCCTCACCCCTCCCTTGTGTGCTCTCGCTTTTATCATGTGCTCATAGTCCAATCCCCTTGTTGTGTTTGCCCTTGATCTAATGTCCACATATGAGGGAGAACATACGATTTTTGGTCTTTTGGGCCAGGCTAACCTCACTCAGAATGATGTTCTCCAATTCCATCCATTTACCAGCGAATGATAACATTTCGTTCTTCTTCATGGCTGCATAAAATTCCATTGTGTATAGATACCACATTTTCTTAATCCATTCGTCAGTGGTGGGGCATCTTGGCTGTTTCCATAACTTGGCTATTGTGAATAGTGCCGCAATAAACATGGTGTGCAGGTGCCTCTGGAGTAACAGTCTTTTGGGTATATCCCCAAGAGTGGTATTGCTGGATCAAATGGTAGATCGATGTCAGCTTTTTAAGTAGCCTCCAAATTTTTTTCCAGAGTGGTTGTACTAGTCTACATTCCCACCAACAGTGTAAGAGGGTTCCTTTTTCCCCGCATCCTCGCCAACACCTGTTGTTGGTGGTGTTGCTGATGATGGCTATTCTAACAGGGGTGAGGTGGAATCTTAGTGTGGTTTTAATTTGCATTTCCTTTATTGCTAGAGATGGTGAGCATTTTTTCATGTGTTTTTGGCCATTTGAATTTCTTCTTTTGAGAAAGTTCTGTTTAGTTCACTGCCCATTTCTTTATTGGTTCATTAGTTTTGGGAGAATTTAGTTTTTTAAGTTCCCTGTATATTCTGGTTATCAGTCCTTTGTCTGATGTATATTGGCAAATATTTTCTCCCACTCTGTGGGTGTTCTCTTCAGTTTAGAGACCATTTCTTTTGATGAACAGAAGCTTTTTAGTTTTATGAGGTCCCATTTATCTATGCTATCTCTTAGTTGCTGTGCTGCTGGGGTTTCATTGAGAAAGTTCTTACCTATACCTACTAACTCCAGAGTATTTCCTACTCTTTCTGTATCAACTTAAGAGTTTGGGTCTGATATTAAGATCCTTGATCCATTTTGAGTTAATCTTGGTATAGGGTGATATACATGGATCTAGTTTCAGTTTTTTGCAGACTGCTAACCAGTTTTCCCAGCAGTTTTTGTTGAAGAGGCTGCTATTTCTCCATCGTATATTTTTAGCTCCTTTGTCAAAGATAAGTTGCTTATAGTTGTGTGGCTTCATATCTGGTCCTCTATTCTGTTCCACTGGTCTTCATGTCTGTTTTTGTGCCAGTACCATGCTGTTTTTATTGTTATTGCTTTGTAATATAGTTTGAAGTCAGGTATTGTGATACCTCCTGCATTGTTCTTTTGACTGAGTATTGCCTTGGCTATTCGTGGCCTCTTGTGTTTCCATATAAATTTACAGTAGATTTTTCAATCTCTTTAATGAATGTCATTGGAATTTTGATGGGAATTGCATTAAACATGTAGATTACTTTTGGGAGTATCGACATTTTTACTATGTTGATTCTACCAATCCATGAGCATGGGAGATCTCTCCACTTTCTATAGTCTTCCTCAATCTCTTTCTTCAGAAGTGTATAGTTTTCCTTGTAGAGGTCTTTCACATCTTTTGTTAGGTTTACACCTAGGTATTTGATTTTTTTGAGGCTATTGTAAATGGAATTGTTTTCATACATTCTTTTTCAGTTTGCTCATTGTTAGTGTATAGAAATGCTAATGATTTTTCTATGTTGATTTTATATCCTGCTACCTTGCTATAGCTATTGATGATGTCTAGAAGCTTCTGAGTAGAGTTTTTTGGGTCTTTAAGGTATAGGATCATGTCGTCTGCAAATAGGGATATTTTGACAGTTTCTTTACCTATTTGTATTCCTTTTATTCCTTCTTCTTGCCTAATTGCTCTGGCTAGGAATTCCAGTACTATGTTGAATAGGAGTGGAGATAGTGGGCATCCTTGTCTGGTTCCTGATTTTAGAGGGAATGGTTTTAGTTTTTCTCCGTTAAGTATAATGCTGGCTGTAGGTTTGTCATATATAGCTTTTATAATGTTGAGGAACTTTCCTTCTATTCCTAGTTTTCTTAGAGCTTTTATCATGAAATGATGTTGGATCTTATCAAAGGCTTTTTCTGCATCTATTGAGATGATCAAGTGGTTTTTGTCTTTGCTTCTGTTAATGTGGTTTATTACGTTTATTGATTTTCGTATGTTGAACCACCCCTGCATCCCTGGGATGAAGCCTACCTGGTCATGGTGAATAATCTTTTTGATGTGTTGCTGAATTCGATTTGCCATTATTTTGTTGAGGATTTTTGCATCAATGTTCATTAAGGAGATTGGCCTATAGTTCTCCTTTTTGGAGGTGTCTTTGCCTGCATATCATACTTGAATTCACCCCCTCCACAGCTCTCCTTTATCTCCCTCCCCCGAATAATGTACTGATTGTTATATGCATCTAGGAAACTGCTTAAAGGGAATTCTAAATAAATGCCAGTGATTATTTATGGTAGCACTCTGGAGTTAAAATGGTCTCCTAAGATGACTACTTGGAAGGACAGGGGTAACTTGGAAAATGAATAAACTGTGGTATGTTTAAGTATAGTAGTCTCATTACAAAGAGGCATGTCTCATTCTTTATCTTGTATCCCATTCCTTTTTTTTTTGTTTTAGAGACAGTCTCATTCTGTATCTCAGGCTGGCCTCAAACTCTCGATCCTTCTGCCTTAGCCTCCTGAGTGCTAGGATTATATGTGTGCATTGCCATGCCTGGCTTGTATCCCATTCTTGTAACATTTTTAGAGTATTGTTAGGAAATTTCAAATGTCTCAAAACAGTGAAGGATCAAAGGGTAATTGATTTATTTAGGAATGGTTAAAACATATGCTTTCCAGAATACTGTGTCCAAGATGAAGCTTTTTTGCTGAAATAGAATAGGAAAGCAGAACAACTCTCTCTTCAAACACAACAGAAACTTGATATGATTACCACATAATTTTACAATGAATAAAAAAAGAGGAAAATAACAGTTATAACTAGGTTGTTTTCTAAAGTGGCATCCAGTGCTCACCAAAATGTTTCCTGAATTCTTGACCTCAAAGAATTTGTTCTGGTTGGATAATGGTTGCCAAAACACAGTCAAAAGGAGTTAGTTTTGTTGTTCCACAGCACAGATGACTATAGTTCACAAAAACATACTATATATTTTATGAAGATCTAGAGGAATGGAACTCAAGACTCCAGACATAAAGAAATGATAAAGAAATGCTAACTACTTAGATTTTATCAGTGAATTCTTACACATGTGTTGAAACATCCCCATTAATATATACACTTAATGCATGTTTATTAAAAATAAATTTGTTGAGGAAATAAAACATGCATACTTAACTAAGAAAAAGGATATGTTCATTTCATAAAAACTAAAATTGTGTTACTAGAGGCTATATCTGGGAAGAATGCAAGATATTGGTCAAAGGATATAATATTTCAGTTAGACAGGAGGAATAAGTTCAAGAGATCTGTTATATATGTTTGCAACTACTTTATAACAATGTACTGCATACTTGGAAATTGCTAAGAGTAGATTTTAAATGATCACCATAAAAAGATAACTATATGAAGCAATGTATGTGTTAAATATTTGATTTATCCATCTCCCAATGTGTGCATGCATCAAAACATGTTGTATACCATAAATATATACAAATTTTCTTGTCAGTTATAATTTTTAAGAAAAGAATGTGTTCCTGCATCTTCTCACTCATTAAAGAAAGTAAGTTAGGGATTACAAAAAACAGTGCACTGTAGTATGCACTATCATCCATATTACATATTTCTAAATTACATGTACTTGGTTATCATAGCCACTACCAAACTATATCCATGAAACATTGTTCCCTGGTTCTAAGAGGGCTATGAAACAGGGCTCTATGTCAAGCAATTACAAGGCTTTATGTATTGCACCACTTCTTAAATACTTTAATATATATATTAGAAATCTCCAGGACAGGCATATAGTATATCTCTTCTAGATACATTTAGCCCTGGCACACGTGAGCATGCATGCACACATGTATAATGTTAGCAGTTCCTAGAACAGAGTTCAATAAAATACTGTTGACCAAGACAGAATTATGATACACCCTAGTTTAACTAATAGATACATAATTTTGATTCCAAAGTTTAGAAAGCTTTACACTAAAAGCATTCTATATGATTGATACACAGGCATATATGTGCATATCAATTCTAATTTATAGTAGTGTGTTTGTAGTTATTTTTATAAATGAGTATCAGATCATTAGTCAAGAATATAAATCTTGGCCAGAATATAAATCTTAGCTGGGCACTGGTGGCTCACGCCTATAATCCTAGCTACTCAGAAGGCAAAGAAAGCCAGTCTGTGCAAATAGTTCATGAGACTCCATCTTGAAAAAAACCCTTCACAAAAAATGGCTGGTGAAGTGGCTCAAGGTGAGTTCAAACCCCAGAACCACAAAAACACATTAAGAAAAAAAGAATATAAATCTTGCTAGAATAAATATCATTTCAGAACTCTTTTTAAAGTAACATAATCCAATGTAAATTCAAAGATTATTTGTACTTAGGTTTTTCAGGTATGAAAAATGTTTTTATTACACTAAAGGTAAATTATGAAAAATATTTTCTTTGCCTCTTTGTTATAACAATTTCTATTCATTAAACACTACCTATCAGAATTGTCTGTCACTTACTACATTTTTTTCAGGTTTCCTGCTGGAATATTTTTGTCTCTGATTTTTTAACATTACCTATAATTTGTTTTAATTATGAAGTAAGTTTGAAATGATACAGCCTTTCCTTTATAAAGGTTATGATTATACATCTTCTGTTCTTAACCTTATTCCTCCCTATCTGACTCTCTTCAGGATCTTTAGGCTACTTTGAAATGGAGACCTTCAGAACTGGTAACCTACTGTTGCCTAAAGCCCTTTAAAAGCAAATTATCTTAACATAACTGTCACTATTAAGGAAGTCTTGTTGATAACACATGCTTTTATAGCATCGTCTAAAATTATACAGCCCAAACATAGTTAGCTTAACTTGAATTGCTCCCTAGAAAACTAAAGTTTAAGGAAATCTTGGTGATAAGGCTTAATTTATAACATCATTTAAAATGAAGTGGCCCAAGCAGAGGTCTGCATTATTAGCATAACTTGAATTGCTCCCCGGAAAACTGATGACACAGAGTCACAGCCAAGTATACTCATGAAAACAGCAGCCTGTATGGTATGCCCTAAAAGAAAACTGATTGTTATGAATGTACAGTTATGAAAACTACTAGAACAAATCTTCACAGTTTGTGAAAAGTCTTACCTTATAGTTATAATAAGGAGCCTGCTGATATTTATCCCACTGGCTTCCAGAAATAGAACTATTTATTTGCTTCATGATCATTTTATAGGGTACCTGACGTCCTGCAGCATCACTACAAGGAGCCCCCCGGAAAGGGACTTTGGCAATGGTACAAACGTGATCCTAGAAATAAAAAAAATGTTCACAATATAGATAACCAAACAAATCTTAAGGAAAAAAATGATCAAAAAGTAATAAAAATCTATTTGTTAGAAATTAAATATGTGCTATAAATAGATAACCTTACTATGTAGAATAAAAGTTAATTTTGTTTTCTTTTGGTAGCACTGGGTTATGAACTCAGGGCCTCATGCTTGCTAGATAGGTGCTCTACACTTGAGCCAACCTATCAACCCTAAATTTTCTTTCCTTTTTTTTTTAAATTGTTGTGCTGGGGGTACATTGTGGCATTTACAAAAGTTCTTATAATATATATCATACTTCAATTCACCCCCAGCCCTAAATTTCCTAATCAAATAAAAATGTATGACATTCAGAAGGTTCTATGGAATTAAATGACTCAAAATAAACAAACTGTTAGTCTCAAACTACATTTCAGACATTCTAGATAAATTTATTAGTGAAACAAAATATATAATGGGGGTAAAATTACTTAACAGATGATCTGTTCTTACCTCAGATAGATTCAGGCATGTATAATCATAACCATACCAGGGAACACCCATTACAAGTTTCTTAGAATTAATGCCCATCTTGATGTAGTCATTATATCCTAGTCAAGTAGAGACAGAAAAAACATATTTTTTTCCTCTTCATGTATCTGTTAATATGTTCAAACAAGCTCTGCAACCACTCAGGATCTAAGCTTGTAAAGTAGGTACAATTACTGATAGAATACAAATTCTCTCTTCTATTAGATGATAGGCATAGTTTAGGAATCCTAAATTAGATAATTACTTTGTAATTATTGCACAATAAAATTAAGTTGTTTTTCACATTTAAATAGTGTATGTTTATGATCAGATCGCTGTTTCCAAACAATGAGGACATGATAAAATAAAGCCAGGTTCTAAGATTTTAACTCTTTATGAAAAAGAAAAAATATTTCTAAATCAGTATCAACTGCCCCAGAAATTTCACCTGAGTACAAAAGATAGCAAACAATCTTTCATCCATCTGATTAATGGGACACAAACAATCCAGACTTTGAGCTTTGTGGGAGAGTTGTGAGGCTATACTGTGTACTTGCTAGGAACTCTACCATTTGAACAACATCCCGAACCCTTTTTGCTTTAGTTTATTTTTCAGAGAGAGTCTTAAGTTTTTGCCCAGGGCTGGCCTCAGACTACAATTCTCCTAACTGTGCCTCCTGCACCAGTCTAAACTTTGGAGAGGATAATACAAAGACCACAGCATATGAATGACAGGTCAGAAGTATCCTCAATTCTATTAGGAGTAGAATTTTTAAAATACACAAGTACTAAAATACACAAGGCCTGGTGGTACATATCTATAATCCCAGCACTCAGGAGACTGGGACAGGAGGATTAAGAGTTTGGGGCCATGTTGGGCTATGTAGTGAGATTCTATATAGTCTTAAAAATACAAACAACACCCCCTCACCAAAGACAAAGCTAATCCTGTTAATCTATGGTAATGTTTGGTAGGTACCCATATTATAACTATCTTTGGTATTAAACTATGTAACATTGATTATTTTAACAAAAATATCCTGTCACAATCCAGATACATATCTTCTTCATGTGATTTCATGACAAGAGTGTGGGACTTGAAGTTAGAACACCTTTATAATTATGTAACCACAAGAACTTAATTCCTTTCACCTCATCTGTAATAGAGGTTTAATGATAACATACCTATCCCACAAAGATTCTTAGAAAAATTAAGTGAAAAAACTTTTAAAATTTCAAAATTTTTTAAACTTTTTGTAAATATTAAAACCTTCCAAATTAAGTGACTTATAGGTTTGAAGAAAGTTTTACAAATAGAAAGGTATATAAATAACTTGGAAATAGAAAAGATACCTTAATGTTTGAGATTATGGAATAATCATTATACTGTGGACTCTTACCAGTTAATGTCTGATTGTAGGGAGCATTGGCTGCTGCAATACATTCTGACCAGATTTGACTTTGTTCATCATAAGACATCACAAAGAGAAAGTCACAAGCATCTGCAATTCCAGTATAATTATAGCACCTTCCATCTATGCATTTTGGAGACCAAGCTACATCAAAGGTTACCTGTGGAAAAACATATCTTTTATGTAATATGATTGAACATGCATATTGTGTCAGATTTTTTAAATTATATATTCTCTTGTCTTAAAATACCCAAAGAAAAAAAGAACTGCTTACAGTATATGAATATAGGTTTGACACATACAGAAGTTCTAAGAAATACAGTTTTTGACTGCATTGCACCGACCTAGATGTGTATTTGGACATACAATGGCCAGGAGGAAGACACTAGAAGAGGAATTTTAAACTCAAATGTCTTCAGAGGCTGGACTGGTACTCCACTGATTGAAGCAGCACATTTGATGACACTATAGTCTGTTGAATCCTATGAACACATGGAGAGTAAAGGCACACCAAAAGAAATTTTTAAAGTACTGTGCAGGCTTACGCAGGTCAGCTATTGGCACAGCCTGTCTTTATTGTGAATTCAGGTCCTTGACTGACGACTGTGTTACATGGTAGGTTTGGTCACACCTAGACACCTGTGGTGGTTTAGGCCCAGAAATAAGAGATTCATTAACTCAAACTGCTGGACAAATCATTAAAAAAGTTTTATTTTATGAAACAGTCAAATAATTTTTGAATGATGCACAACCATTCAACAAGTGTGAGTCTTTCAGAATACCTGTTTATTACTTTAGCTGAATACTCATGACCCTTTAATGTGCAGAAATGTTCTAAAATTCCATTAAAGGTTTCCCCCTTAATTAGACATTCAGTAAATTCTTACTGATTAATTATTATAAAAGTTTGAGACACTTTAGGTAAAATTTGTATACATTGGCCAATTTATCCTAGCAGACTCTTTCAGGACTCTTTAATTCTTTGAGTTTAATTCTCACTATAATTCTTTGAGTGTTAGCATTGAAGATACAAATTTTTTTCTCCATAGTTCTACAACAAAATAGGTTATGAGATGAAATTTTTACATTCCATTACAGTAAACTAGGATTGAGTTAATCATACATTCAAAAACACATTTTGATACATAAATTTCTAAAAAATGAATGAATGTTTACCTGTGACCCCTCAATCTCATGATGGAAAGAGTCTGTGGTTTCTTTGACTAAAGCTGTTAATGCATCATATTCAGGGGATGAACAGTTAACTTCTTGCTCTATATCTATATTAATTCCGTCCATATATTGTGCTTTGGCCAAATCAACTTTTTGAGCTATCCAGGATGTTCTGAAAGTAGGATCAGTAATATCCTTTAGGGAGACATCTCCTATGGAAGAAATACACATCTTTTCTACATATGCTTTTCACAGTTAAATGCCAGTTATTTCACAAGCCCATTTCCAAAGAGATCAAAGTGTCTTTAAAACATTTTATTATTTTAGAATACTAAGCCTCTAATTTAAGTTGTCCAAACAGAGAAATAATATGCAAAAATAATAGAATATAATTGCTTACAAATCTCCACAATAGCTATTATGAGTAAGACAAGTAAGATTATTCTCAAATTAGAAGCAGAAATTGTAGATTATGACTAAAGGTCAGCATGCTAACTAGGCAGGCACATATTGCTCAAAACCAAAAACTGTTTTTTTTTTTAAATTCGCTGTCTTTGTGAGAACAATTTAGTAGTACATAAGATTTAGTATAAAGAAAAGATAAGCATAAAAAAGGAATTTCTTTAGAAACCAAAGACTATAACAAATGATAGAAATAAATTTACCAATTGGCTAGACACATTTATCTGGTAAGAACATACCTTTTAGCACTACTCTGGCTCCTTTTGAGTGAGCATAGCACATAAGGTCTGAGTCATATTTTCCAAAAACTGCCACAGTTGTAATCTGTGACCAGTCATAAAATTTCCAAGTTTTCTTTCCCACATCAAATACAAAGACCTGCCAGAACAATAGAGGTAAGCACCATCACTAAACCAATACCATGCTGACCATCCAAAATGAACTCCACACAACCACGTGCCAGGTACTATGGTGAGCACTGAGAGTATAAGAGTAAGACAGAACCCAATATAGTTAGTAGCAGGGGTGATGAGCCAGGCCTAGGAAATGGGGAAGGCTGGGCCAAGAAGAAAGAAAGTGCCAATGCCCAGAGGCAGAGAGAGCTGGATAAGTAAATAATTAGCACAGCAACACTAGAATTTAGAGAGAGCATAGAGAAGAAGCAGAATGGTAAGTAGGAATTAAATCATGGACACCCTTTGTAAGCCCCTGAGAGAAAGGAAGAGAATAAAGACATTTTTAAGGAGAAAATGTGCATTTTAGAAAAATTTCCCACTTTGTCTGAAGTGGGAAATGGTTAAAAAGGGTCTAAAATGGGAGTCAGAATAGGGAAACTGTTGGATGAATCCAGGGAAGAGATGATGGTGATCTCAACTAAAATTGGAGAACTGGCAATTGGCCAGTTAAGAGGACAGGTCTGGGAGAGACTAAGGAGGCAAAATTAGCAGCCTTGTGATGAAGTGAATAAGGCAAGAGAAAGGAGTGTGATAATATTCAAGTTTCCGGCTGTTCTAGGTGGATCCATAGACACTGCATGAGTTATGACACAGGATTTTTGGTGAAGCTTACTTCTTGGAACATTTAAGTCCAAATTCTAAGGCAACTGCTGTTGTGTTTCTCCAGCATTTTCCTCCACAGATGATTTTAGAAGTGAGGCTCAGTGATTATATTTCTTTTATCCTGAAGGATTGATATGTTAATTCAGCAAATATTTCTTGAATTCCAAGAAGGTATTGCAGGAGTATTTTGCTAGGAACTAGGGACACAGAGGTTAATAAGGGAAACTAGATCCATTAGGTCATTAATTATTAAGTACAACACTATTAAGGACTACAAGAGAATATAGGGAGTCATGACCCTATATAAAGAGATCCTGCTAGCCAGGTAGGACAGGAAAACTTCCTTGAGGAATGCACATGTTGAGAGGACTGCAATCTGTAGAATGACAAAAGAGAAGGGCTACCTGTGGAAAGAGCATTCTGGGGCTGAGTGTGGTGGTATGAGCCTATAATCCAAGCTACTCTAGAAGCAGAGATAGGGAGGATCACAGTTGGAGGCCAGCCCAGGCAAAAAGGTAGTTAAGACCCCTTCTCAACAAATAAGCATAGAGGATCGCTCTTATAATCCCATCGACATGGAAAGCATAGGTAGGAGGATTGAAGTCTGAGGCAAAAATGTGAGACTCTCCAAAAAATAGAGCAAAAAAGGGCTGGGGGCATGTCTCAAGTGATTAAATGCCTGCCTAATGGGGGGAAGGGAGGAAGCACTCTCAAATGAGGAAATACCAAAGGTCCCTACAACCCAGAAGTCTAAGCTTCTAGAACTGAAAATATAAGCACAGAAATTCTGGAAGTGTGTGTAATCACAAAACTTGTAAAGTTAAGTGGTGACAAGATCAAGTGGTGCTGTGTAAACCACTGAGGAGTGTTGGGCTTTATTCTGGGACCCAAGGGAGCCATTAAGAGTTCCAAGCAAGGGTGGGGCATAAGGTCTGCATTGAGAAAAAGAAAGGTGAGGGGACTGCTGTGAGAAGGGATGGGGGAGAGCACTGGGAAGCGTTAACTATAAAAGTTTAAGCAACCTTGTGTTTACTTTTCAGAATTAACTATGCATATCTCATTTTTCTGCTATATAACTGAAGTAATTACAGAATGTGAAATTGAATGGCCCATTATCTTTGGATTCATATTTCTATTAATAACTAATATGCAATGTGTTTTAAAAATACAAGGAGCTTGTAACATAATAGAAAACCTTAAAGTAACTCAATGAACCAATTAAAGTATAAAGGAAGAAGGGTTGGAGGTGTGGCTTAGTGGTAGAATGGCACTTATCATGCTTGAATCCCGTTCAATCCCCAGTGCCCACACATCTCAAATATATGTATGGGGGAAAAGACATATAATCTAGCCTTCACATTTGAAAAAATACAGAAAAGGACTCATTTGCTCTCAACATAAATGAGCATAATTTTGCTTCTTTGTATGACTGATTTCAAAATGCCCACAAATATTACATAATCCACTAAGTACTGAGTGCTACCATAAATCTTTCAGATTGTTTAAAAAAAAAAAAAAAAAGAAGCAAACAGCACTTATGGGGAGGCCATTAGGCTGAAATAGCTCCAGTGCCTTGGACTCCTACTTAAGCAGAAAACAACCCAGTGTAACAATAAAGTGACTCTTAAGCTTAAGCCATCAGAAACCACTACCTTACAGTAAGTAGAGCTTTCCCTCCAGATCATACCCAAATAAGCCAATCAGCATCCACTTGGCCTACAAAAGTCCACTGCACAGGCTCTGGACCTCTTCTGTCTTCTGTTTGGATGACTGCTGATATCATGACTTGTTCTCTGTTCAAACTGTCTTATTAGTCTACAGTTTTTCTTTTAAAAAGTCTAGGTTTCCACACTGGGCAGACTCTCCAAAACACTTTCACCACTGCTTTTTTTAGTAACACTGAGATGTTACTCAAGGCCTCACGCTTGCTAGGCAGGCACTCTACCACTTGAGCCACTCCACCAGCCTCAAAAGTGGTGGCACTTTTAAGTCTTCTAAACAATGTGCACATACTTAAAAAAAAAAAAAAACTTGTCAAGTGAATGGCCCTGCCTCAAAATTACTCTACTAGATTAAGACCTAGGAATTTTTCCTGTCGCTACAAAAGAATTTTCTTTAGACTAAACTTCACTTCCCTGATTTTGTCCACTTCTTGCTAGTCATTAAACTCCAGTCAAGTGGTTTTACTATTGCTTCCAAAAGAGTGTTTGGTTCAAGTTGCCAGAAGCCCTGTAGACTGTTAGGTTGGGTTAGGAGAATGTACTGAAAGGCCTATTTTTACCACCCTTACAAAAAGTAAAGGTAAGCAAAACGTTATGCCTTCCGATGTACTTTTGAAACCTGACATTTTTTCATAGTAAATCCTCACTCCCTTGAAAACCAAGGAATGGATCATCCTCCTTCCCGTCTTTCACGCCAGAGAGCAGCCGTAGGAGGCAGAGCGGGTAAGGACAGGAGCTGGCCCTGGCGTCACTTGTGCGCGGGAGTGCTGGCCTGCCGCGAGACCTGGGAGGGGTTACCCAACCTCTGCGCCACTTTCCTCTACAAACAGGACTGTAAGCAGGAAGGCCTGCGAGTGCTTAAGCTTGTGGTGTTAGCACCACACTCTTTTTAGGACTCGGTTCCACTCTAAACTTCTCTTCCAGCCCCGACGACCAGGGGGCAGGGGAAAGCGCTGACCTCAAAGTCCGGACGGTGGCGGATCGGGCGGCACAGCGCGGGCTCCGAGCACGGGCAGTCGGTCCCGGCCGCGAGCGGCAGCGCCAGCAGCCGCAGCAGCAGAGTGAGCCCTCCGGCACCGCCAGGCCCGCTGGCCGAGAGGCCAGGCCGGCGACGGAAAGACGGCGGGGACATGCGAGCTGGTGGCCCGCGACTGGAGTAGGCTCCTCCCGCGGGGTCCGCGGGGCGGGGCCTCAAACGCGGTGGGGCGGAGCTGGCAGGAACGCGCTGCCGCCTGACCGGCGGGGCGGGGCCTGAAGCACGGTGGGCGGGGCAGGACAAACCCCTCCCTTCAGCTTGGCCGGCGGGGCGGGGCCTGAAGCACGGTGGGCGGGGCAGGAGCGCGCTCCTTCTGCTTGACGCGCGGGGCGGGGCTGATCGCTCTGCCTCCGAGCGAGCGGTGCCGGGGGTCTTGGGCTCTTTGCAGGTAGCCGGGGTGGGAGACCGCGGGGAAACAAGACACTGCAGGCTGAACCTCAAACTGACAGTATGCCAAGAAAAGGAGGAGAAGAGAAAGCCGTAACAAGAAGCAATTGAAAAGGGCAGGGAAGGTCCTTGGAAATAAAGAAGATACCAGAAATGAAAAAAATCAACAGAATGAGGAATGTAGAGAAAAGAGTTAAAGTTGAGGAGTAGTACATGCAGGAAGAAAATAATCAAGGTTTATAATAATATTAAGATTGCTTGAGAAAAAGAGTAGCACAATAGGGAGAAATTAATTCTCAAGATTCCAGGCCTGAAGGATATGAGTTTTCAAAATGAAAAGGCAAATGATAGATTAAAAAAGTTTCCAGATGGAAAAAAATCACAAAGGATCAATAACTTGAAATTCCTAAAGAATGTGATTTCTGCTTAAAATTCTGCCAAGTTATCAATCAGACTTTCAAAATATTTACCTACCATACACCATTTCTCAAGAAGCTACTATAGAGAATTTGTTTTAGTAAAATAAGGAAATAATGAAAAAAGAAGCAAAAAGGGTACAAGAAACAGATGTCTAAAACAGGAAAGAAAGTAGAAATACCTCCAAAAGATGATGAATCCCGTGATAATTTGAGCATAAAAGGGCATCTACTCCAGATTGGATTATGGCAAGGAATTTATAATGTGATGGACTGTGGCTTATCAGTAGTCACCTTTTTCATGACTGAACAGATAATAATTAATGAAAGTCCAAGAAAACATCTTTTTATTGATGAAGGACAAAAGAATGATGGTGTAACACTAAGAGTGATTGATAAACTCAATGAAATATGTACTTAATGTGAGTGGTTTCACTGAATCTGATTGTCTTTTATCAGGCTATTCTGATACAGAAGAAAAAATGTATTGACATATATTGGGAGTCCCCAAGACCATCTCCAGGTTTAGTGATGTACAGGAAGAACTCACAGGACTCAATTCTACTCACAGCTAGACTTCTTATTACACCAAAAAGCTACAAAGAAAAATCAGCAAAGGAAAAGACCTGGATAAGGCCAAGCACAAGCTTCTAGAAGTTCACGCCTCATGGGGTCACACAGGACTGAGTTACTCTAGCATCAAATTGTGACAACATATGTGAAGTGCTGTCTATCATGGAAGCCCATGAGAAACCTGGCTAGATAATGTTGAGAACCCTCCTTAATTACAGTTTCTCAGATACCCGCTAAGGACTAAACTTGGAAGCAGTCCTTTCTAAAGCTAGCAGTCTTAGGTTCTAGGGTTAGACCTCTTGTCTGCATTCTACCCAAAGGAAAAATTCCTATGAATTCCTGAAGACACAGATAGCCGTTTGTGCTCATATGTGAATCTGGAAAGATACACAAGAAAGTACTACAGCATTTACCTCTGAAGAGGAGGAAAAAGTACCTGAGAGAGAGATGAGACAGACTTCTTACACTTTTTTTAATTTGTTTTTTATCATATTATTTTAATTTTCATGTAGTCCCATTTGTCAATCCTTTCTCTTAGGTGCTAATCCATTTAAGTTCTGTTTAGGAAGTTATTGCCTATGCCTATTAGTTCCAGAGAATGCTCTGCTCTTTCCTAGTCTAGCTTCAAAGTTTCAGGTCTTATAGTAAATTCCTTAATCCACATTAAGTTGATACTTGTACAGGCTGAGAAGCCCGGATCTAGTTTCAGTTTTCTGCAGGCAAATACACAGTTTTCCCAGCAACATTTGTTGAAGAGGCTGTCTTCTCTCCATCATATATTTTGGGTGCCTTTGTCAAAAATTAGGAGGGTGTAGCTGTGTGGATTCATATCTGGGTCCTCTATTCTGTTCCACTGGTCTTGGTATCTGTTTTTGTGCCAGTAACCGTGCTCTTTTTATTGCTGTGGCTCTGTAGTATAGTTTGAAGTTGGGAATTGTGATACCTCCAGTGTTGTTCTTTTTGCCCAGTATTGCCTTGGCTATTCATGGCATTTTGTGCTTTCAGATGAACTTTAGGGTTAATTTTTCAATCTCTGTGATGAATGTCATTGGGATTTTGATGGGAATTGCATTAAACATGTAGATTGCTTTTGATAGTGTAGCCATTTTCACAATATTGATTATGCTAATCCATGAGCATAGGAGATCTTCCACCTTCTATAGTCTTCAATTCCTTTCTTCAAATGGTTTATAGTTTTCATTGTAGAGGACTTTCACTTCCTTTGTCAAGTTTATTTCCAGATATTTGATTTTTTTTTTTAGGAGATTGTAAATGGAATTGTTTTCCTACATTCTTTCTCAGTCTGTTCGTTGTTGGTATATAGACAGGCTACTGACTTTTATAAATAGATTTTTGTATCCTGCTACTTTTTTGAAGATGTTTATGATGTCTAAGAGTTTTTTGGTGGGGTTTTCTGGAACTTTTAGGTATAAGATCATGTCATCTGCAAGTAGGGATAGTTTGACTTCTTCCTTTCCTATTTGAATTCCTTTTACTTCTTCTTCCTATCTTATTTCTTTGGCTAGGAATTCCAAGACTATGTGGAATAAGAGTGGAGAGAGTAGACCCTTGTCTTGTTTATGACCTTAGAGATAATATTTTCCATTTTTCCCCGTTTAGTATGATTTTGTGTATAGGCTTGTCATGTATAGCCTTGGTTATGTTGAGGTACGTTCCCTTTATTCCTAGTTTCATAGAGCTTTTATCATGAAAGGGTGTTGAATTTTGTGGAAGGCTTTTTCTGTATCTATTGAGATGATCATGTGATTTTTGTCTTTGCCTCTATTAATATGCTGTATTGTATTTAATGATTTGTGTATGTTGAACCATCCCTGTATCCCTGGGATGAAACCTACTTGATCATGGTTTGTGATCTTTTGGATAGGTTGTTGAATTCAGTTTGCCAGTATTTTATTGAGGATTTTTGTATCTAACTTCATTAAAGAGACTGACCTATAATTCTCTTCTTTTGTTGTGTCCTTCTCTGGTTTGGGGATGAGTGTAATACTGGTTTCATAAAATGATTTTGGCAGTGTTCCTCCCCTTTCTATTTCATGGGAAAGTCTGGTAGAATCTGGTAGAATTCAGCAGTGAATCTTTGAGGTCCTGGACTTTTTTGGGAGAACATTGCTGCTTTAATTTCATTGCTTGTAATAGATCTATTTAGGTGATTTATATCTTCTTGGTTCAATTTTGGATGGTCATATGTGTCTAGAAATTTTTCCATGTCTTCTAGATTTTCCACCTCACTGGAGCCTTTGTGACACAGCAAGGGCAGTGATGAGAAAGAATTTTATAGCTATGAGTGCCTTCATTAAAAAATTAAATCAATCCCAAATAAATAACAAAATGATGCAGCTTTTAGAAAAATAAGAGCAAACCAAACCCAAAAACAGTAGATGGAAAGAAATAATAGAGATCAGGGTAAAAACTTTAAAAAATATTTTTATGTTTCAAAAAGTTACTTTTATTCCAAAATAGTTTTCATTTCATATTAAAATTTAAAGTCAAAATACAAAATATTTAATGAATATAACTTTTTTAGAGGAGTTTTAGATTCACAACAAAATTGAGCAGAAGGGCTGGGGGTGTGGCTCAAGTGGTAGAACATCTGCCTAGCAAGCTTGAGGCCCTGCGTTCCAACTCCAGAACCATCAAAAGAACCTTTTTTCTTAAATCTCATAAAAAAATCTGAGCAACTCCAAAGAGGAGAAAAAGCCCATAAAATAAAAGGAATTCCCATATACCCCCTGCCCACTCATGCACTAGCTCCCCAATTATCCATATCCATACCAAAATGGGATATTTGTTACAATCCGATATCCATTGCCATCACCATTATCACCAATCTTTGCTTTACCACTGGAGCCATGCCCCAGCCCTTTTACTTTAGTTATTTTTCAAATAGGGCCTCACATTTTATCCATATCAGCCTGGACCGTAATCATCTTGCTCATACATACCTCCCTCATAACTGGGATTACAGTTGTGCATCATCATACCAAGTTTTAATTGGTTGAGACTGGTTGGATTTCATTCACTTTTTGCCAGGGCTGGCTTCCAAGCATGATTATCCCAAATTCCACGTCCCATGTAGCTGGGATTACAAGTGTGAGCCACCACACTCAGCCACAATATAGTACATATTATTATCACCCAAAGTCCACTACAGTTCTGTTTTGCTGCCATACATTTTGTGGGTTTTGACAAATGTATGCTGACTTGTAAGCATATACATATATACATAAATACATATGGGGTATTTTCACTTCCCTTAAAATCCTCTGTGTTCCTGTTCATACCTCCCCCACTACTAACCCCATGGCAACCACTAATCTTTTTACTGTCCCTAGAGTTTTGCCTTTTCCAGGATGTCATATGGTTCAAATCAGATTGGCTTTCTTCACTTAGTAATATGCCTTTGAGTTTCTTCTGTGTCTTTCCATGGCTTAATAGCTTACTTATGTTTGGCACTGAGTAAGACTCCACTGTCTGGGTGTGTATGTCACAGTTCATTATCTCACCTATTGAATGACATCCAGGGTTTGGCAGTTATGAATAAACCTGCTAGAAACATCCACATGCAGATTTTTATGATGTAGCATTTTAAACACCACAGAAAAGTGTACTTATTTAAACAATTTAACTAAATTGTATTAAATAGCTTTATTAAAATAAAATAAAACCGTTTATTAAAATAAAGCCACTCACAATTCTAAAATTATATATCCACCTATTTGGTCCATAGTAGCATACCAAAAAGCAAATAAACAAGTAAATAAATT